AAAAAATAATAATAAATCAAATAGTGTAATTATAACAACCAAACTTGAAACTGGGGGAAATATTTGAAAAGGCATTTCCCTCCCTTCTTTGCAGAGGTTGGTGACTATGGGTGTGGAACATTGCTGTCATTCTTTGTCGCTGTGGTTAGCTTTGCCGGACTGCTTTTATAATATTTTTAAATTCTTTGTTAACAAGGAATGGCTTGCTTTGGAGGTTAGGGACAGGTTCAGAAATGAAGACAGCATTAAAATATATCAATAAAAATTTTAAAAAATATATAGTCTTGTCTTGGGCTGCGCCCCTCTCTGGGCCTCTCAGTTTCCCTATCTGTAAAATGAAGGCGTAGGACTAGCTGATCTCAAAAACCTTTTCCAGCTTTAAATTCTAGGAGCAGCAGTGGGAGACCAGCTTAGGGGCGGGGCTGGGGGGGGTTGAGCCTGGGGGCGGGGCTGGGGCCCGAGCGGGCCGCCTGCCAGGCTGCTGGGCTCGCTGCCGGACCCTGAGTCACGCCGCTGTGACTCACTAGCCGCCCGGCTCCGCCCCCCGCCCGCGGGCCGCCGCAGCCGCCAACAAACACCGCGTTGCCCGGCAACTCGGAGGCTGCACCGCCTGCCAGCCGGACCCCGCCCAGCCCAGCCCAGCCAGCCCGGCCCAGCCCCTCCCCGCCCCGCCCGGGCCGACCCAGCCTCGGAAGCTGGGGCTCTGGGACCAGACAGGGCGCGGAGCTGGCTCTCGCTCCCCTTCCAGCTGCAGCCCTCTAGTCTGTCGGTGCTCTAGCTTAACACAGATATACGCACACAAGAGCAAGCGAGAGAATGCCAGAAAGATAAAGGGAGAGAGATAATGGGGGAAGGAGAGTGAGACACACGCGGAGACAGAGCGTTATGCCTAGTAGAAAATAGAAGCACAGCTGGGTCGGAGACGGCCCCCAGGAGGAGGAGCTTGCAGGTACAAAGTGAAGAGGAGGGTAGAGGCAGGAGAGATCTCAGGATTTAGAGCTAGAATTCAGCATGCAGTCAGTAAGTGCATACCATGGAGAGCCTACCATGAAAGGCAACAGTGAGCAGAGCACTGTATTCGGAGTCAGAGGAACTGAGTTGGAATTCCAATTCTGCCACTATCTTTGTGACTCTTCCCCTCTAACTTAAAATTAAATGAGGCACGTAGTATTAGATGATTTCTAAGGTCCCTTTCAGGCAAGTAATGTTCATAATAAATCACTGATATGTGTAAAGCAGCCTAAGATTTCTCTTCACAACACCCTTGTTTTATTTTTTTTACAGGCAAAACTGATAGCCAGAGAGAAGTGACTAGCCCAAGGTAGCAAACTGAGACCTGTTAAAGACCTTAGCTTAAAAGGGCCAAGGCCTCCCACAGCATGGGGACCATCTCCAGCCATCCTGATCTATATCTTGCCATTGGACCCAGATGGCTCTGGAGGAGAAAGTGAGGCTGGTGACTTTGCATAGCCCTCCCTCAATTCTAACAGCTCAAGGTCACACAAATCTTCTGTCCTCCAGTCCCCCACTCTTTCCATTCCACCATGATCTGTGCTCCTGAGGTTGGAATTGAGTACCTTGAGAGGAGGATTTTCCCCATGCCAACCTTGGGGTCAGAGACATACAAGGAGATATGTTGACAGAAAGTTTAAGGGAGAGACCAATCTTGGGGAGGAATGTCATATGGGAAGCAGTGGCAGTGAGGAGTGGGAAAAGAACCTTGGGCAAGGTGGAACTTGTTTCCAGGAACTTGTAGTGTTCTCTAGGTGGGACTTTTGTTTCTGCACTTTTCTTCCTTACTCATTGGGGGGTGGGGGGAGGAAAGGAGGAAGGCCAAACTAACTCTGGCAGGAAGAAGACAGGCAGAGGAGGAAGCTCTTTTTTGGAGTAAAAAAGGATGTTCCCTTCATGTTGGGCCCTAGCTCACTGCTCCCCTTTCCTCCCCCCTACCCCAGCCCCACTGCATGGGTTGAGGAACATGGGGATCTGAGAGCAACATGGGGTCACAGCTCTGACCTAGAGCTGAAAATAGTGCTTTAGACATAGTAAGCGGTGCTGAATAAATGTTTGTTGAAACGTATCTAGCTCAAGAGCAAGCTAGGTGTAGTGGATGGAAAGGTGGCCTTGAAGCCAGAAGACCTGGCTGGAAGTCCCCTCTCTGATATAAACTATGTAACCCTGGGCAAATCATTTAACCTCTTAGTACTTTAGGCAACTTGGCAGAGAAAGTGCTTACCTGAAACTTCTTTATCCAAGAGCTCCCTAAATCAATGAAACCACAGCTCCTGTCCCTGTGTAGTCTAACCCTCTCACTAGACAAATGGAGAAACTAAGGCCCAGAGATCACATAGGCATTAACTGGTGGTATTTGAACCTAGAGCTCCCCAGGGTGGGGAAGGGAACTTGTGGCCTTAAAGTCACATGTGGCCCCCATGTCCTCAAGTCTGGCCTTTTGACTGAATCCAAACTTCACAGAACAAGTCCCCTTAACAAAAGGATTTGTTCTGTAAAACTTGGGCTCAGTCAAAAGGCCTCTCCCAAGGACCTAGAAGGCAGGTTCCCCACCCCTGTAACCAGTCAACTGTCTTTTTTCCCATGAGGTCAGGTTGTTCCTGGGTAAGGGGTGCAGATGAAAAGCAGCACCGGTGACAGCCTCTCTAGTGCCTAGTCTTGGACCTTTGAGGAAATAGAAGAGAGGACTCTGACTTATTCTGGTGAGCTCCCCACCATGTTGGAGAGATAAGACCCATGCAGGTGAAGGAACAATATGGGTGATAAGTAACCAAGAGGCCATGGTCAGAAAGGGACAAGATCTTTGCTGTAGCCGGGGAGAGCAAGAAAGGGTTTGCATGAGAGATGGGCCTACAGTGAGACCTAGCTGGAGAGGCAGAATCAAAGGGGGAGGGTTCCACAGCAGACCAACCACAAATGTATGCAAAAGTACTGAGAAAGGGATGGGCCTGTTCCATCACTGTGCCACGAATGCCACCAATGCTCCCCTCTGAAAGCCACACTGGCTGTGTGACCTCACTGAGCAAGCAACTTCACCTCAGTGCACCAGACTAAGTTTCTTCCTCTTGCAGTTCCAATCCCAAGAAAAACACAGATCTGGCCCCTCTATACATGTACATATCTAGTCCATGGTAGATGTGCCAGCACCTGTAGGCCCTCAGGTCTATGAGGAGGAAGGTTTTGAGTGTTGTCTCTCATCTTCCTCCTCACTACATAAGTCAGGCAGGTCTTCTTTCACATAGCATGGGAGTAGGGTGGAGAAGAGTGCCAGCAGATAAGGACCACCGTTGGGTCATTCTAAAAGGGGATCCCAGTATCCCAGAATAGTCAAAATAATGTGCTAGATCCACCCTTCTAGCCTTAGTCATCAGGGAGGAATGTGTCCAGTGTGGGCTGGGTGTGGACTGGCCACATAGGCCCTTCAGTCTAGCCAGTGAGAGCCAATTACCTAGAAAGGACATTGTTGCCCCAGGAGTTGGTGAGAGTGGGACGGCTAGGCAGAGCCTAGGGTCCTAATGCAAGAGTGGCATTTGACCTGGCTCCCTTTCCAGCCACTGAAACTCTTCTTTTGCTAGCTACTCTGGGAAATATTGAGGCAGGAAAATTTGAGGTGCATCTGGGGGTTAGGGAAGTCAGAGAACAGAGAAGAAACTTAATATCTTCTACCTTGCTGGGTTCTGCCCAACCACCCCCTTCATCTCCTCTGATAATCCCAAATTCAGAACAAATCAGCTTCTGGGGTATGCCTTCCAGAATTGCTCCTGGTCCACTTTTAGAATCAACTTGGTCTTCTCAGTCTCCAAGGCCAGGGCTGTTTCTTGCCTCAGGACAGGGGTTCCTTGGACAGTGGTGACTGATGGGCAGAAGAATCATCTGAGGAAATTGGCTTCTGAGGTTCTCAGTTAATGATCCTGTTGCTTTCCTCAAGTGTACCCACCCTCCTAATTATACACCTTCAAAACCTTGCCTTGAGTCTAGAGAAGGGAGGGAAAGAAAGGGCAGAGAGGTCTGAGGTAGGAAGGAAGAGGGAAGGAAGAACAGGAAAGACAGGGGAGAGAAGAGAAGGGAACTCAGAGCAAAGAGCTGGGAGGAGACCTTGGCTTTTGTCAGTCTCTCTTCATTGTGGTTTGGAGCAAGGGTGTGTGTGTGTGTGTGTGTGTGTGTGTGTGTGTGTGTACATTTATAGTTAGTAACTGGCTGCCTGCCCTTCTAAGCTCTCCCAGTCTCTCTGTCTTCCCCCCCCCCCCCCCCCCCCCCCCCCCCGCCTTTGATCCCACATGGCAGGGTAGGCCTGGGAGCTGATGCTGTCTGGATTGGGAGAGTGGTACAAGGAAGGCTGTGGTGATTTTTACCTCTTCTCTCAGTTAAAGAGGCAACAGGAAGTGAGGGTGCTGTCAGGAGACAGATGTTTGGGAGCCAGGAAGCTAGGAAAAGCCACAGAGGGATCTTGGGGTGACCAAGTTGGAGCCTTTGACTAAGGGAAGCAACAGTGGGGGTGGGGGCTTGGGGATAAGGACTGAAGCCCAATAAGCCCCTTTGTTCTTGTCTGAAACTCCACCCTCAAATTTTAGACCCTCCCAATCTCATCCCCTGCCGGATTGTTCTAGACCTCTTACAAGACTATCCCTTCCATTAGCCATCTGGCCCCGGGGGCCTAAAGTTGTACTCTGGAGGGGGCAGTGTCTGTACCCACATGGCTCTGTTCCTGTGGTCTCGGTCCTTAGTTCTCTTTCCACTTCTGTCTCTGTCAATCAGTGCCCAGTGCCTTAACAGTCTAGTATCCTCATTGGGGATGGGGGAGTGGGAGAAGGGGCTGAGGTTGGATCAAGGCCCCCTCCTGGGCCCCCCAGCCCGGCCAGACTGGCCTGCCTGCCATTGTTTACTGCTGCCTAGCTCCAAGGAAACTTAACCCGACACAGTAATTTTATTTGGGAACTTCCAGTGGTTACTATGGCAACTCCTAGTGACGTCACAGGGGCTGAGATCCTGGGGGGAGATGAGGAAGAAGACCCCAGAAGGGCCCCTAGTTAACTCTGTATGTACCAGTCTCTGGGCTCAGCCTGGGATGGCAGCTGGGCCAACAGATGTGCTACCAGATGTGGTTCTGGAAGTTCTATGATTCTTCATAGATTTTCCCCAACCTCCTTAACCTGGGAAGTACCTTCTGGTAGCAACTGGGACTTCCCCTTCTGATGGCCCCAGCCTGTTGCAGTGGTACCTTGGTAACTTTTGGGGCAGGGACCATCTGTCAATGAGTATTCTGGGTGGTGGTGAGTCAGCATCCGAGGCAGGCGGGTGGTGTGATGTGCAGGCATGGCAGGGGTGGGGGGCACTGAGCCCTATTCTCTCCTGACTCACCCTATGCCCTTGGTTAACGCCCAGCCACTGCCCTTCCCAGGGGATTTGTTGGGCCTGGCCACTGGGAATCCAGGGCTGGGTGGTTAGGGACTGGGGCCACATTAGGGCTTATGTACCCCTTAGACGTCCCCTCATTACATTCGAGGCTGGGTCCTGAAATTCTGTCCCAGACCACCAAGGAAGTTTGGACCAGTAGCAAGAACACTGGCTATCAGTCCAAAGAAACCTTAAGGTAAGATGGAAAGAATCTGGAGCTCTTTGCCCCCATCCAGTGCTTCTGGTCCCCTAGGGGGAACAGTGCATGAGCCAGACCCTTTTTCTTGTACTCTGAGATTCCAAGCCCAGGGGTGGGGAAGTATAGGCCCAGGCATTTCCCGGATGTGGGGAGCGGCTGGGGATCCCAGAGTAGATCCATAACATGGCTGGTTACCGGGACAACAGGCAGGCATGGGCCCCTTGGCATGGAGAAAACCAAGGCTGTCAAGGCAGTGGGGGTGGGCAGGGAGGCCAGGCTGCAGTGCCTTCAGACTGGGCCACGGGCCCACTGCTGCTTCTCAGAGCAGCGATAACCACAGTGACGTAGGTCCACCAAGCCGACTTCCTAAACCTCAGCCTGTTTGATGTCTCTGTATGCAACGTTGCCATGGGGCCCGGCGGGCCTGTGTGTGTGTGTGTGTGTGTGTGTGTGTGTGTGTGTATGTGTATGAATGTGGTGTCTGAGTTCTGACCTGACACTCAAGGACAGACAAGGGGATCCCTGGGGCCAAGGAACGCTGGAGTCCCCTTTGATTCATCCCTCTCTTCCTGGAGTCTTGGCTGGTAGCTTAGTGATGGCCAGTGTAATGGCTGGGGGTGGGATGGGATGTAGGACAGAACGGCCACCTATAGGGCACGTAGTGATGATGGAGGTAAAGAGGCTGTGAAATGTTCTGCAGTGGAGACACTAATGGGGAGGAGGTTACTCAGGCATGGAGAGGTTCTGTAGGGTAAGCAAGGTTTAGCTAGTTAGCTACCTCAAACACAAAGACTGCAGCTTGTGCCTTAATCTGCAGAGTTCATGTACTGGGGGAAGGAAGGTGGTTCTAGATGGGGAGTGAGGAAATGGCAATGTAGTCCACAGGGACTCCAGACACCAAGCATGAAGGTGGGGATGGGGGAGGGAATAAAGGGGGCAGGTGAGAGGTGGGGCAGGTAAGCCCTGGGGGCTGGGCCCCACCCTGAGTCGGGGAATTCTGTGCCATCCTCATTCTTCCCTGAGGTTCCTGGAGGCTGGATCTGCTCCCCATCGTGCCCCAACCTGTTGGGCACTGCCTACCAGGCACAGCCACTTGCCCTGGGCCACCATGGCAGAGGGCTCATAAGGGTTTTCATCTGGACCCCAAACCAGCCTGTTCCAGGGTTCCCCTTTATGAACGGGCTACAGAATCCAATTTGCCAGAAGAGTAGAGGCTATCAGGTAGGCGAGATGCTAGTAAGCTCGATGTTAGGAGAGCTCTAGAAGAAAACCTGCATACATATGGTAGGGAGAAAGGTCAGGCAAGGGTAACCAAGGCCACATCCTTCCCCACCAAGGACTATGGCAGTCCCACCCTAGGGCAATGGTCTAAGTCCTCCCTCAGTTCTTATGGCAACTTGGTATCTCTGCTCCCACCCATACAATTTCCTATTGTTGGTTCCTACAGTTTGGAGGGGGAAGGGAAGGAGAAAGGGAGATGAATCTGTACTGATCATAGCTGCTTTCCATTTAAACTTCAATTAAGCAGCCCCCCCATTAATCCCCAGGGCCCTCTAACCCCCCACCTTTTCACTCCTTCTACGGGAAGCACCTTGGGTACTGTGCCTAGCTAGGTTCCCTGAGATGAGAGAGGTAAGCTGATGGGTATGTCCTGATTGTACCTGAGAGTATCTCTTCTCTACCAGGATTCTGAATGTCCCTCCCCTGGCTTTAGGGCTCCCACCCCGACCTACCAATTGCCAACCTGGCTTCCTTGAAACAATGGTGCAGTTTTTCTACCCCACTACCCGCAGGATAGGACACAAGGCTCTCCGAGGGCCTTCCCAGTACCAAGCCTGGGGCTTGTGAATGTCCTGTAGGCTCTGGGAATGGGGGGAGACAAAAGATCAATAGGTTAATACAGAGATGGCTCTTGGTCTCCAAGGAGCCAGGGTGTGTAGTTGGGAGAAAAGAGAAGGAGAGACTATTGAAACAGAATGAGAGGGAAAAGGATATACCAGGACTAGGTCCCACCAGTGCTTAGAGTGATGTCATCCAAAAAGCAGAGGACCTGTGTTGGGCCAGAGGACCTGGCTCTGTTAACGATAACTTCTACTGGGCACTAAAGTTGTCCTTTGGTACCTTATGGAGACAAGGAGGTGACCCTGACTCTTGAGGGCTGACCTAGCTGAATGGAAGCTCAGGAAGGTAGGGTTATCCACTTTGTATTCCTTTAAGTACAGGTCTGGTGATGGACCATTATCTGAAGAACAGCTTAGCAAAACTTGGAGAATCTCATCAAAATGCTGCAGAGGGATGAATCTTTGGGTTATAAAGCAGTTTCTATCTGCATTGGTGGAGAATGAATAAAATCACTGAATTATTCAAGAAGACTTTGGCCATCACTTCACTCCTCTGGGCCTCAGTTTCTTCATCTGTAAAATGAGAGGGCTGGGACTAGGTGGTCGCTAAGGTCTCTTCCACATCTAGATTTATGGTCCTCAGCATGTGAGATACCAGGTTGATAAGAGGCTGAAGGTCCATTGGGACAGGTCAATGACGAAAGGCTCAGGGCCCTACAGAATAAAAATTCCCATTATCTATAGATTTCCCAGAATACAAAAGGCTCCTGTCCACCATGCCCTGGTGACTTTTGGAGTCCTCAGCCCAGGATGGACAGTGCCTCTTTGAAGAGCAAGGAAACATGGGTTTCATAATCGGCCAGGGAAGAGCACTTTAGGGTTAAGAAAGGAGGAGCAACACCTGCCCCTAGAATCAACCATGCCTATCCCCCAGTGGCAGGCCCTGAGGTCCGGGCAGTGGAATTTGAAGACCTAGGAAAAGAGGTACCTGGAAGGAGTTGGGGGAAGGAGAGAGTTGGAGGCAGGGAAAGAAATAGGGAAGAGCCAAAATAAGGGATAGCAATTGGGACAGAGATGGGGCTAGAGACAGAGTTTGGGGCAGGGACAAGAGAAACAGGAAAAAAGCTGCAGGCAGTGATAGTCGCTGCAAAGGCAGGGAAAGGGTTGAAAGTGATAGAATTATCCCCAAGTAAGTGGGGAAAGAGGGACAAGGGCATAGCTGGTGACAGAAGTAGCTGTGGTAGTTAGAGGTATGAAGTTGGCAGTTAGGGCCTGGGAGAAAGACATGTAGTAATAAAACCGGTGATAACTAGGGCTGACAGAGGTGAAGGCAGAAACAGAGGCAGGGAAAAAGTTGGTGACGGAGGTCGGAGTCAAATTTAGAGCCAGGTGAAGATACTGACCAAGGGACTCACTGAAGAACAGAGTTAGGGATAGACGTTGAGAGCAAGACAGAGCTGGCCACAAGGGTCGACGACTGGGTCCTGGGCTGGGCCGTGGGCCCGAGGGGCGCGGTACAGCGGAGGCAGGAGGCGGGCTCTGCTCTGGGTCCCCAGGACAGCGGCGGCGGCCCCGCCCCTCCCGTCCCGCCCCCACCCCTCCCTCCCGGCTCCCTCCTTCTCCCTCTCCCCGGCGGTAATAAGGAGGGAGGAGACGGGGAAGGTTTTAAAAAGGATTTCTCCTTCGAGTCGGACAGCCAGTGACTAGGGTGGGGACCAGTCGGTAGGCCTGCCCCTCGTTTGCCCCCGGCCCGTCCGTCTCCTACTTTGTCCGCCCGCTCCGGGAGCTCCGAGTCTCGGCCCGGTAAGTGGAAGAGGGAGCGGTCGTCACTACTTTTCCCGGGACTGACTTCTTGGCGGGAGGAGCGGGTTACAGGCCGGGTCGGGCCAGGCCAAGGAGGCCCGGTGGGCAAAGGTGGGTATGGGGGCGGGCGGGGGGTGGCTGCCCCGGGAAGGGTGTGGGCCCCCTGGAGGGCGGCGGGCAGGGAAAGGAAGGGCGATCTGTCCGGGGAGCCCTCGCTTGCTTTGGCCGCTCTCCCTAACCCTCCCGCCTCCGCCCCTGGCACGGTCCTCAGTCCCGGGCTGGCACCGAGACTGCGGGGGAGGAGGGCATGGGCGCGGGCGCCTGAAGCCAAGTCTCCCCCGTCTGGTTAGCGGGACAGGCGGCGTGGTCCGCCAGTCCTGGAACCCTGGCCAGGAGCCTGGAGACAGAAGAAACCCCAGCACGATGCGCGCCCCTAGGAGTGCTTGGGGTTCTCCTGGGGGCCACCCAGGCGCCGGAAGCACTGGTCCCCTCCCCCATCTACGGCCCCAACTCCTTTCAAGTTCTTTAAGGGCCGCCCCACCCAGCCGGGACTGGTTGTGAGAAGGGGCAGACGTTGCGCAAAAGCCTTGGGGCAGGAATCTGGGGGTGGGGGGATGTGCTCGCGAGGGTGTAGGGAGATTCCATCCTGGGTATTCCTTTGGGTTCCTCTGAGGACCCGGTGCGGGGCTAGGGGTGGAAGGGGGTGTCAGTGCTGTCCTTCCTGAGCATTCCCTCTCTCCATTTCTAGCCGAAGCTCTCTCCCAACAGGACCCCTCCACAACCTGGAGCTGAGTCTATCTGTGCTGTAATTGTGTCTGTCTGTCTGTCTGTCTGTCTGTGTGCCTAGGCCACCAGGGGTCAGTAGGGGCTCAGGGAATGCTGGCTCAAGTACGAGCTTGAGAGGGGCTTTAGAGGGAGGTGGCAGTGAATCTTGGGCCAAATTTCCCCTCATTCATCATGGACTTAAGATTCTGGATCAGTTATAGCTTGAGTGGGTATCTTGGGTGGGAGTGGTATAAATGCTCTGAGGCCATATCCAGCCAGGCCATGGTTTGGGTGTGGTCTATCAAAGACCACCCATTGACACTTCCCCAGTCAGCTTGACCCAAGTCCTCAACTCCTAAGGGGTCAGGATGGAGAGCAATCTGCATAGCCCCATCCCCCAGGGTTTGGGTTGAACCCAGATGGACTGTTACTTAGTTTCCCTCAACCCCACATGCCTGTGACAACTTGTAGGAGGAAAAATGCCCTTTCAGGGTGTTGTGTAGTGATGAGAGCACTGGATTTGGAGTCAGGACCTGGATTTGAATCCCTGTTCTGACAGTAGCTGTCTGACCTTGACCTCAGAATCACTGAACTTCTCTGAGCTTGTTTCTCCATCTGCAAAGTGAAGATGAGAACACTTGTGCCACCTAACTGTGTCCAAGTTCCATACAGAAGTATAGGAGAGTTGTCTCCCCTAATGCCCCCAATCTGGGATACTCTTTTGCCCCCTGGGAGGCTGAGGACGCTTGTTCCCCTCAGCACCGTGTGTCCTCTCTTGCAGGCATCTCTATGGGGGCCAGGGATGTTCAGGGTTTAAGATGACACACCTGTGCTATCAGGAACCTTGCTCCCCCCTCTTCTCTCTCAAGGGAAGTGACTGGTTCAAGGTCATGAAGGAAGGCCCTGCCTCATGTGTCCAGGAAGATGACTCCACAGTCTGGAGCCCTAGTACCAGCTTAGCCCTTGAGTACAGATAATGGAGAAGGGGGAGGGAGGAGGGTTGAGGCCAAGATTTCCATCCCCATGTGGTCCACTTATCTTCACACAGGGAAAAACTCTGATCCATGACCCTAAACTGATCTAACCTTGGCCCCAGACTGACTGCTAACCCTGGCACATGACAAATCCATCCTTGTTTAAAATAGGACCCTGGTGTGAGAATCTGGATGGCTCCATTCAGTACATCTTTGTAGGGGCCTCAGCTCTGAGCTAGTGTCCTGCTGGTGGGGGTGCTGGAGGACATTTGGGGGCAAGGGATTTGGCTGTGTCTATAGGAATAACTCAGCTTTGGGTCTTGAGGCAGGGGTGGAGGCCCCCAGGTTGTCTTACCTCCTTTCCCCACCCCCAGTTCCCAAGTCCCCTGCTCCCCCCCTCTGCCTGTTCTCCCAGAAGGAAAAGCAACTTTTCCTGTCTGGGCTCTGAGGCAGGGGGAGGGTGCTGGGGCACCTCTCCTTGATTTAAAGACACAGCTTTCTGGATCCCACACTGAGGATTCACATACTTAGGAGTATATGGGCCTGGGATCCAGGCTCAGGCCTTCTTGATTCCCCCCTCTGCTGGCCCCCTTGAGGTTTGCTTTCCTCCCCAGCTGCCCTGCTCTCACCACACCCCCAACCCCCTGTTCAGAAGCTCCTGATTTACAGGGTCAGCCCTAGAGAAACTATGCCAGGCTCCTGATACACACAGGACACATACATGACCAGGCAAGTCCTTGGGGGTGGGGTCTGCATGGACCTAATTTCCGTGGGTGCACATTTCTCTGAACATTGACACTAGATCATCAACCTTAAGGGACAGCTCTGGACACCTTGGGGCCCACCCGAAGCCTGTCACAACTGGAGACCAGATGTTCTGAGATGGATACAGCTGCAGTGCCTGCCTCTCCCATCCCCCCCCCCCAGCCTATGGGTTAATTGGCTTCTTTGGTACAGGGAGTGGAGGAGGGGAGGCAGTCTACCCTTCCATCCACCCTGGGGGTAATAGACTTTTGTAGATCCCCAAGCTTGCTTTGAACAAAACCACACCCCAGAACCTTTTCTAAATGTCTTCCAGAAAGCTGTTGGGATGGTGAACCCTCTTCCTTTATCAAATCCTAGTTGTGGCATGCACAAAAGGATTCGGGGTGGGAGGGGGGGAGGCATTCCTCAGAGCAATCCCAGACCCAGTGTACCCTGAACTTTATTCTTCACCAATGACTGTACTCCAGGCCCTCTCTTTTCCCCAAAGGTGAGGTTCTCTTGCCCATCTGGAAACCACTTACCATTAACCCCATTCCTCTGATATATTGTCTCTCTTTTCTCAGTTTGAATTTATCTTGATGTCCAGGCTTGGCTTTGTCCTGAAGTCACTGTGTAATCTTGAGTGTGCCTCTGAACTTTTCTGGTCTTGGGGTACTCCACCTGTAAAGTAGAAAGTCCTCAGTAAGCTGATGGATGGGGAAGTGCATCGAGTGCCAAGGCTTTGGTCTTCTTTATCCTTGCCAGCCCAGGGTTTCCCCATGTTCCCTCTCAGCTCTGGGTCTTGAGGCAGGGGTGGAGGCCCCCAGGAGAAGCTAACTGAATTCCTAATCTTCCTACAGTTGAAGATGGTGCTTCTGGAAGTTGGGAATCCTAGGTAGTAGTCAGTGGAGGGAAGGCTTGGTGTCTCTGGGTGGAAGCAGAGGCGGAGGCCCTGTGGCCTCTAGGACCTTGGTTGGGGGCTGTCACCCTAATATGATGCTGGGAGCTGATACCACCTTGAGTGTGGTCATTTCAAGTACTAGTACAGGACAAAGATGGCATAAGATTCCTTAGGATGTCTGGACTTGGCACTGAGGCTTGGAGGGTTCCCCCAGCATGTAAATGTTGGTGGCATTTGGTCTTTAGGAAAACCTGCCCTTCCAGACAGAACTGGCCTTGTATTTCTGGGAGCTGCAGAGGAGATTTCCTGGTGGG